GCCGAATATGAGGCCCTCCTATGTGGCCTTCGGCTGGCTGCCAACATGAGGGCTCGGCAGATCCACATCAAATGCGACTCCAAGTTGGTCGTGGGCCAAATCTTCGAAGAATATGAGGCCAAGGAGGGGAGAATGAAACAGTACAAGGAAGCGGCCAAGGAGTTGCTTAAGGTATTTGAGGCACACTCTCTCACTCAAATACCGAGGGCTCAGAACTCCGAGGCCGACATATTATCTAAGCTCTCGGCCGACTCCCCCGAGCACATCTCCAAAATTGCCAAAATCGAGGAACTCAGCCTCTCAAGCATCCATGCAAGCCCTGTTATGAACATACAACAACGTCAGGAGGATTGGATCTCAGATATCACCGCCTTCATCTCCACAGGGTAGCTACCCGAGAATGAGGCCCGCGCTAAACTGGCAAAGCTGAGGGCTCCTAGCTACACCATCGAAGATGGAAGGCTCTACAAACGATCTTACAATGGCACGCTACTTCGGTGCCTTCATCCAGATGAAGCCGAGGTCGCAATGGAGGAAGTGCACAGTGGCACTTGCTCAGCTCACCAGGGACCCTTCTCCATGTCCCGAAGGCTCATTCTCCAGGGCTACTTCTGGCCAACCATGGCCAGGGATTGTGCTGACCTTGCCCGGAGGTGCACCGCATGTCAACATTTCCAGAAAGCTCCCGACAGGCCAGCGGTCAACTATGCCCCCATCAGCACCTCTGTCCCCTTTTCTCGATGGGGGATAGACCTTGTGGGCCCTCTGCCGAGGGGTACCTCCAACAACAGATACATCACCGTGGCCGTCGACTACTTTACCAAGTGGGTGGAGGCTGAACCCCTCGCCAGCATCACAGAGGCGAAGTGCCGTCACTTCGTCCTCAAGAACATCCTCACAAGGTTTGGCGTCCCCCAGCAGATCATCTCCGACAATGGGACACAATTTGAGGCAGCCCCCTTCTGTGCCCTTCTGGAGGCATGGGGCATCAAACACACCTTCTCCTCCGTTGTCTACCCTCAAGGCAACGGGCAAGTAGAGAATGCCAACCGGACCTTGCTCGAGGGCCTCAAAAAGAAGCTAGAGGCCGAGGGCGGTGGCTGGGTGGAAGAACTCCACAACATCCTTTGGGCCTATCGCACCACCCCTCGGCGAGCAACAGGTGAAACACCCTTCTCCCTCTGCTACGGCTTTGAAGCCAAAGCTCCTACGGAAGTCACCCTTCCCACCCGAAGGGTGATCCAATATGACCCCGAGGTCAACGACAACAACATGGCCCTCGACCTCCACCTCATTTCAGAACGCCGGGAGCAGGCCTTCATCCGGGCAGAAAACTACCGAAGGCAAGTTAAAAGCTACATCAACGCCAAAGTTCGCACCCGAGAATTTCAAGTGGGGGACTATGTCCTCCGGAGGAGGGAAGCCAGCCAACCAACCGAGGGAGGAAAAATGGCACCAAAATTCGAAGGCCCCTACATCATAGCAGCCATCATCAAACCCGGGACCTACAAGCTCAAACGCCCCAATGGGAAAGAAGTCCCTAGGCACTGGAATGTACACCATTTAGTTAAATTTTATCAATAATGTAAGAGCGGCCAAGCCCTCATAACTAGTGAATGTACTATCCTATGGCCCAAGGCTTCCAATTTCGAAGAATGAAGATACATTCAAGACATCAAGCCCTCATACTGACTACAGGCCCCAGGCCTCACCACGAGAAGAACCCCCTCCGGCACCAAATGCCGAGGGCGGACACCATCAACACCTACAACAAACAGTGAAAACACCACGTGTTTTCAGTCAAGACCCCTCGGTACCAAGTACCGAGGGAGGGAACTCCTATCACCAAGAACAAGGAACGCCATGTGTTTCATTTCCGTTCGGCACCCAGTGCCGAGGGTACATTCCCACCTTCATCATCAAAAAAGAAAAGATGAGAACACCAAGTGTTCCTACAGAAGACCCTTCGGCACCCAGTGCCGAGGGTACATTCCCACCTTCAACATAAAAAAAAAAAAAAGATGAGAACACCAAGTGTTCCTACAGAAGACCCTTCGGCACCCAGTGCCGAGGGTACACCTCCATCATCAAACATCGAAACGAAGAAAAAAAACAACAAAATGTTTCAAAGAAGACCCCTCGGCACCCAGTGCCAGGGATATGCTCTCCTATCAACTTCCAAACATCTGTTGGGAAACACCAAGTGTTTCATTTGAAGACCCTTCGGTACCAAGTACCGAGGGTAGACGCCTACATCAACTACGACAAAAGAGAACACCAAGTGTTCCTACAGAAGACCCCTCGGTACCAAGTACCGGGGGCTACACATCGAAACTAACACCAAGTGTTGTTTCTAAAAGCCGTACCCCACGAGGACGCATATACCGAAGGCGCCACCATCGGTGCCGGCGGCACGTAGTGCCCCCGGCCATTTGCAACTAGTGTGCAAATGAAAACCCTTCCTTGAAACGCTTTCCGCGTCATTACCCCCAGGGTATGACAGGCATGAGAAATGCCCAGGATTCGACTTTCAAAAACGGAACGCTATCCGCGTCATCACCCCAAGGGTGTGACAGGCACGAGAAATGCCCGGGATTCGACTTCCAAACCGAAACGCTCCCCGCACCACCACCCCAAGGGTGTGGCAGGCCACGGACTATGTCTGGCGCCGAGGGGACGACTTTCAAAAATGAGGCGCTTTCCGCGCCATCCCCCAAGGGGAGGCAGGTTACGGACCACCATATCTTGTGCCCAGGAAACGACCCTCGATCCCCTCGGAACTCGGAAGGTTAACCCGAGGGAGGAGAGCCATTGGTGTATTCTGATGGTCTCCTAATAGGCCCAACCTTACCAAGAAACCAAGTTTCTTGATGCCTTCCCTTCACCACCAACAGAAAAAAAAAAAGAGGGGGTGAAGGGGAGTAGACTCAGCGAGAAATCAAAGAGTACACTCTAACAGATCACAACAAGCCGAGGGCTCCCCACGGGAACACCTCCGGTAATTGAAGGCTCCTATTTCCCGAAGGATACTACTCGAACAGATAGCATCAAGAAACGGCTAAGTTCACTGCCTGGTCACCTCCGGTCACACAAACACCGAAGGCTTCAACAATACAAAGGAACTGGACTATCCAAAGTACACTAAGACGGTACCTTCAAACATATACCGAAGGCCTCTGTTACGCACTAGTACCGAGGGCCCTTTCCCCATGACAAGGGTCAACTTCTGCAACTTTTAAAGTGTATGCCGAGGGCACACACTCCTCATTGGCTTTCTTCACAGGTCCCGGGCATCTCGCAAAATAATGTAGAGTCAGAGGGCACCTATCACCCGAAGGCTACACAAGGAAGCAGCACTTGAAAAAATTCTAAGTCCTAAAGATTGGGCCCCGGCCCAATCAGCATTACAGCCAAGGGAATATGGTAGCCGAAGGTCATGCAATACAACAACACTTGAAAAAATATATTCTGTCCTAAATGAGCAGCCCCCGGGCATCTGGCAAAGTGATGTGGAGTCAGAGGGCACCTATCACCCGAAGGCTCCCAAGGGAAAATCTACACTTAGAATATTTTCTAAGTCCTACATATTTTTCCCCCGGTCAACTACTCATACATCAAGAAGGGATGCCATCTCCCGAAGGCTCCCAAGGGAAAATCTACACTTAGAATATTTTCTAAGTCCTACATGTTTTTCCCCGGTCAACTACTCATACATCAAGGAGGGATGCCATCTCCCGAAGGCTCCCAAGGGAAAATCTACACTTAGAATATTTTCTAAGTCCTGCATATTTCCCCCCCCGGTCAGCTACTCATACATCATGGAGAGATGCCATCTCCCGAAGGCTCCCAAGGGAAACTCTACACTTAGAAGATTTTCTAAGTCCTACATATTTCACCCTCATCTCAAGGGACCTAATTGCCGAAGGCTGCCTATCAATCGAAGGCTACAGTACACAAGGAATCAACACTCAAGAAAATTTCCTAAGTCCTAAAGAATTGGCCCCCGTCCTACTCAATATTTCAGTGGAGGCTCCACAGTAGCCGAAGGCTACGTGACATCCTACACTTGCAAAAAAAAAAAAAATCTAAGTCCTGTACATTGGGCCCTCGGTCCAATATTCACACATCAGGAAGGGATGCCAACTTCCGAAGGCTCCCTATGGTGTGCTACACTTAGAAAAAATTTCTAAGTCCCAATTCCTGCTGAACCCTCGGTTGCCTATCCAGCAGGGGGTGCCCAACTACCGAAGGCTTCCAAGGGCAGGCTACAATCAGAAAAAATTCTAAGTCCTAAAACATACGTTCAAAGGAGAAGGCATACACTCAAAAAGGAGAAGGCATACATTCAAAACACAGGGCGCATTCAAAGGTGAAAAGCCCGGAGGCAGCATGCATTCATCAAAAACAGGAGTGAGTGTAAAATTACAAACAGGCCGAAGCCGAAGGATAAATGTTGTTCATTACAAAATATGTTCACACATTCCTAAGTACAAAATTACTCAACAATTTCGACGGCATTCCCGGAGGCGTCCTCTACTGCAGGCTTGGACACGGCATCATCACCAATCTCTTCCTCTTCGTCACTGCCCTCGGCCATCAGCAGGGAGTCTTCCAAGTCAGGCCTCGCAACACCTTCAGGGAGGGGAACCCTGGGGTCTGGCTGAAGGGGAGGAAGGCCATAGGATGCCGGATCAAAGGCCTTCGGGTCCACCCCAAAATGCCGGGACAGCCTTCGATATACGAGGGCATGAGTAAAGTACTCACTCCCGTCATAATATTCCTTCCCCTTTCGGGCCAACCACATGGCGCCTGGGCCTTTCACCCATTCGTCCACCGAAGCTTCCACCACCGAAGCCACCCATTTTTGCCGACCTTCGGCTTTCCATCCCTCCTCGGCAAAAGTAGCAACAGCCTCCTCCCGGGCTTCGGCAACAGCTTTATTCCGGGCCTCCTCGACATCCTCCGCGGCTTTCTTGGCAGCATCTGCCGCAGCCTTCTCCGCCTCTGCTTTACCTTCGGCCCTGGCCACCGTCTTGGAGCCCTCGAGGATGTCTTTGAAAGCCTCTTGCTCAGCTTTGCGAGCGTCCTCGACCTCCTTGAGCTGCCTTCGGGCCTCGGCCAGTGCTTCAGCGGCCTTCTTCTTCTCTGAGTCATGCTGTTCTATCCTCTGGACCAGCTCGCCAAGGCCAAGGCTCGCCTGAAAGCAGACATGAATTACCGGAGGGTTAGCCACTACTCATGTAAAGAATGAAGTTATCTACAAAAGAGGGGGAAGGAAACTTACCGTAACCGAGGCCATCAGAACCTTGGAGCAGAGGACATCGTCGGCCTGACGGGAGAGCACGGACTTATCGGTCGGAGGGGTGGCACCCCTCAAAAACTCCTTCGGGTTCAGGGTCCCGTGCATGATAGCAGTCCCCTTCGTAATGGAAAATTGGACTTTGTCCAGGGGCCATGTCAGATCAGTTGCCTGACCCGAAGGCTTGGGAGGAGAAGATTCTTCTACGACCACAACGGGGGCTTCCTTCGACTCCGGAGCCCCCTTCTTCTTCTTCTTCCCCTCCGGTTGTGCCGGGTCCTTCCCATGCCTTTTTCTCTTCAGCTCCAGACCGGGGGAGCCCCCGACGGCGGCCTCCGATACGGGCCCCGCCTCCTTGGCCTCTTCGGCCGCTCCCGCCTTGGGGAAGATCTCATCGACCGCCCTCTGCTGTGCGGGGGCCTCCTTCTTCTGCTCCTCTCGGGCAAGTTGCCGCTTCAGCTTGACCAGGTTCCGAGCGTCCATGTCTGGTCCTGAAACACAAGAAGGCACACAAGGGTTAGTTCACTATTACAGCAAAGCAAAAAATATGAAGGGGGAAGAAAATTTTCTAAGCATGAGAAATAAAGCCTTCGGCATTACAACAACCTTCAGCACTCTCATATACGCGGTCAATCAGGGGGTAGCCTTCCTCCTTCTCCCCCATCAGCCGGTACCGACGGAAGCCAAGCTTGTACAACTCACTGGAGAGCGTTGCGCCTTTGATGGACACATGTTTATCAGAACCCTCTGGCTTCTTGGACAACACCCGCCCATTCTTTTCGAGGGCATACCCTTCTGCCTTCGGGTGCCGCCGAAACCTATCACCAAGCGGAGCGGAGAAGGGGTTCTCGGCCAACCGGATATAGCAAAACTTGTCTTTCCACCCCTTGTGAGACGAAGGCGCCTCATCAAAGATCCTGAACTTCGGGAGTTGCTGCAGATTACCATAGCCCCCGACGTTCGAATGCCCCCCCCCCCCCCCCCCCCCCCCCCGGCATAAGTTGAATGACAGGAAGAATTGCTCCAGAGTAGGGGGGACCCTTCGGCTTAGGCACAGTGACAGGAACCCTGCCAGATATGAGTGACTGTTCGGGGTCAACTGGCAGGGGGCAAGCTTTACAAAACGGAGGTACTCCAACACAAAAGGATGAAGGGGAAACCTGAGACCCAGCTCCACCGAAAGCAGATGCACGGCAAAGCAGCCGTCGGGGGCACGAAGGAGCACGTCATCCGGCTTCGGCTCTACCACTTGCGCCGAAGGCCCTACCAAAAATTGCACCGCCATCATTTCCCCTCGGGTACCTTTATTCTTGACCTCCAAGGCGGCCGTATTCAGGAAAGAATAGCCCTCGGGGAGTCCCAGTGGCTGGCCAACGTCGACGGCAGCTTGCTTCTTCTTCGGAGCCACCCTCGCCTTCTTTCTCTTCTGACCTGGGGCCACACTGAGGGGTACAGCGTCTATAGGCCGGGAGCTCCTGTTAGTATATATGTCCTAGCGACAATCATTTTTTTAAAGACATATGTACTTGATCACATTTAGTTTTTATATTTGATATATACATGGTATTACACTTTATGAATGATTGTTTTCGATTGTCAATGTTTTATTCATAATTGTGTTCCCTTGGATTTATGTTGTCAATAAGTAAGTGGGAGCTTATATGATATAACATAAGGTCCTAAAATAGCCCCAATCAATGATCATCAAGAATGGGATATTGATGATATGCGATAAGATTGGTATGTGGACTGCATCATACTTTTAGAAAGTATAGTTGATCTCACGACTATGAGTTCCTGTAATTCATGATGGTCACATAGATATTTTAGAGAATATTGGCATACCCACCGAGAAACCATTTGATAAGTTCTATTCATGTGTCTATGGGATTATCGGCGTATAGAGTAGTGTAATAGTCCTCCGACTTGAGGTCAATACGTACTACATGTGCGGAGTGATGTACTTTGACCATGACCAACGCTTGCACTCCAATCGGGGTAGATACGGCATGTGTTGGGTGCATCACGAAGCACATGGAGTAGTAGTTGAGCCAAGAAAGGATTCATTCCTCATAATAGATTAAGAGAGAACATTCTACTTCTCATATCTAGATGGATCATAAAGTCATTGGCCAATGCAAAGATATATTCGTTTTGGATATCGAATATGATCGTTATGGATCATCTAGAAAGATTGAGAGACAGAGACTGAGTTATTAGGATAGACACTATATCATGTTCTAGACTTAGTTGAATGTTCGTTGAATGAAAGGACCGTATCACTATGAGCTCTATATTACAGGGAGTTTGTATAGTCCTCGCAAACGTCCTTATATATTAGGTTTGTCTGAAGAATTGTCTAGGGATTCGCTAAGACCTTAATTTGATTAGTGCTTAATATATAAGGCCCTATGGGTCACACAACAAGTGATTATACCTTCCGATTGAATTGTTAGAAGGAATTAAATATTATTAATTGGATTAAATAATATTTAATTTGTAATACTGAAAATGAATTAAATATTAATTAGATTAAACATATTTAATTCATGAAGCTGAAGGAGAGTTCTATTTGATAGCATTAATTAAGTAAGATAAATTAGATTTATCATACTTAAATAAGATGTATTTATTATTAAATAAAGTAGATATTTTCTTTTGTAATTTGGAATTAAAAGAAAAGTAAATAAAATAAATATTAATATATAATAATTAGAAAGTGGCGTGCAGCCACATTTCAATTATTATTATTATTATTTTGTTTTGTTTTATCTACTTATTTAATTAATTAGGAGTATTGGTCCTAGTAGGATTAGAACTCATTAATTAGAAAGACTTTCATTGTGATTGGAAAACTAGTTTCGAACTAGTATAAATACATCCTTCTCCTTCCTAATTGATAGACCAGTTTTCAGATTCAGTATTAACAGTTTATTTCCCTGCGAAGAGATTTCCTAGCCTTTCTCTTACGGAGATCTAACCGTTCTTTCGGGAAGGAGAAATCACGTGGATACCAAAGGTCAAGGATTATCACCGCTAGGCTGGAAGATCTGTAAGTTCTAACTCAGATCTGTTATTATTATCATATTCGTTATTTTGTCATAATCAGGGAAGATCTGTTTGGGAAAATTTTAAACTTCCGCTGCCGTACTTTCGAGGTACGTTACATCAATTTCCTAACAGTGGTATCAGAGCCAAAATGATTCTAATGACATTATACGGATTATATTGATATTTTCATAGATCAGGATACATAATTTTTCAAATTATGTTTTCACCCCAATTTTGATTTACAAAATCGATTTTGATTTTTGAAATTGAAATCTGAAATTGAAGTTGTTAAATACGGAGTAGAATATTGTGAGCTAAGATCTAAAAAATCTGGGTTGTGCAATGTTCTTCACACCCTCAACGATGTGTGTACTTATCCTCTAAGATCTAAAAATCTATGATATCTTCATGCCCTGGAGTGTTCGTTCCTTGACGATCTCACACTGGTTTTCTATGGACACCCATCTATGGCGGACGAGCACCGATTGAAAGCGACTCCGGCTGGTAAATTTTGCGCAGCGACGGAGACAATCTACGGAGGACGAACATGGCGACTATGGCGGATGAACCCGCTAAAATTTGCGATCTGTTTTTTCTTCTTCGAATGATTTGCGGTTTTGGAAGCTCTGCATTTTTTTAGGCCGATGCCCTATTTTAGAATTTGATTCAAAGACTGTTTTCAGAAATTGGATTAAACCTGAGGACATTTTTGCAATTTCCTAGAATTCTACTCAAACTGAAACTCTAGAACATGTAGTTTATTAGAATTTGGAGATTGTTATTATTTTTATACTCCGTAACTACTACTACGTAGTTCGTATAATTATATAACTACATTAAATTAAATTAACTTATTTTTAATTAGATTAAGTATCTTTGATATTACGACGGTTAATTTTAAAATTTAATCGATAGTTGTATTATCATATTATATTCGTTTATAAATAAGATTTATATTGCATGCTTTAATTTACATGTCTGAGTTAGATCTCGTTGACATATTATTTGATAATATGTTTTAGCATCTTGATTAAATAGAATAATTTAATACCCGCTAAACGTTCCCCATAAATTAAAATTTAAGTCTTATCTGGGATAACGACATCACCCATCATAATTAAATTAGTAGAAATATTTTTTCGTTGAAGAATATTTCACCCAAGTGTTTATTCCATTCGACAAAATATAGAACTAATTTATAGGTACAATCGTTTGTGATCGTGTGATGGTTTTGACTTACCTAAATTAGCTCGAGTCGCCCAAGCGTCAGTGTTAATTTAGGGATGTCGATCAATTAAAAATTGATCAACCAAGAATTGCTTGGACGCAATTGGTCTAGGGACCTACCCATTATATTATTGCAGTGATCAGCCCAAGCTGGGACTGTAATAGTATGAATGAGGATTTTGGCCACTATGATTGTAAAACATTCCATGTTCCTTTTATTGGGGTCAAAGAGCATGTAAAAATAGTGGGAGCTAAATAATTAAAAGTCCATATTATTTAGTTAACTAGATGTGATCATAGGAATTAATATATGATTTTAATTCCGTTCTATTTAAACTTCTTTAGGCTTTTTAGGTATGTCGAATTTATCATTGAAAAGTATCTTGGATACAAATAATCTGATTGAACCAAACTTTCTAGACTTGGAACAAAATATGCGTTTCGTTCTTAGGCAAGAAAATATCGAACATGTATTTGATACAAGTGTACCCGAGATCCTTGATGTTAGCTCTTCTGAATTAGCCATGTTTGACAAGGACATTCAGAAGAATCACATTGCTGAGATACCAAATGATGTATGTCTCTACTGCAAAGAGATAGTACATTGGAAGAGAGATTGTGAGATATACAGGACTAATCTAGACAAAGCACCGAGTGCTTCTAGCTTAGGCATTTTTGTCATTGATATTAATATGTCTACAACTAACTCTCACTGTTGGGTATTAGATACGGCTTGTGGCTCACACATTTGCAATAGTGTGCAAGGCCTAAATGACAGTAGAGCAGTTAGGCTGGGTGAGATTGACCTACGTGTAGGAAATGGAGCAAAAGTTGCTGCTGAACGTGTAGGGACTTATATAATAGATTTACCCAGTGGTTATAGATTAGAACTAAATAATTGTTATTTTGTTCCTTCTATAACAAAGAACATAATTTCCATTCCTATGTTAGACATTGAG